CACTTAATTTTGACCTTTTTTTCCTGAGATACATATATTTGGACGTATCTGAATGTATCTGGAAGCACCAAAATTTGGCAAGATTCAAAGTATTGCAAACTAAAATGTATTTAAGTAATTAGCTTCAACTAGTGAAATTTATATAAGTTTCCCAAATTCTTACAATATTTTAGCCCATTAGTATTGTTACAAGTTACAAGAATTAAACTAAAACAACTTTAAAATGTCATTGATCATTCTACACAATTAAACCCACATGCCACTTCCCATGGCCCAATCATCTCACGCAGTCCACTTCATCTTGGAGGCCCAATAACATCACCAAAGTCACCAGGGAAAACCAATGTGTTATACTACTATAGTACTCGATCTATCTATCTCAAAATATTTATCGTATTTTTTATTTGTATGTTCCTTAACAAAATATGAATTGGGAGGGGTATTTGACTATATTTTTGCTCATAAGTAAGCTCTTCTCCATGACATATTTTGACTTTTATCTTTGACCCTATCGATATAAATTTCAACTTCTCCGTTGGAGACGGAACTGGCCTCGTCTTAAGATATAATATTTGTAGTCTTCAAGAGCAATTCCTACAAGGGATAAATGAAGAAAAAGAAAACTTTGTATTGAACTTCTAAATGACAAGTATTTTGAGCCCAACATTTTCACTTTACTGTATATGAGCCCGTCAAATATATGTATATGGCGAACAAAAGCTAATACGAAAGATAATGTATCATCAAACCACTTTGTCCAAACATAATTATAACCTAAACTAGCGGGATTTTACGTTGCTTCCTTATTCCTTTCCCATAATTGTTTGGCTTAGAACTCTGGGCCAGTTGACTCAGGACCCACCATGAATCCCTAGTCATATATATAGAAGATCCAAATATACTGGACCATTTCAAATTGGACCATGAGTACATCCTGGCCCATAAAACTTTGCTAGAAATAATGGAGCTAATCTCAGTAGATATGTCACTAAAAAACACAATGGATTCAGAAAAATAAAAACAGAACCATTAATAATATATATATATAATATACACATATTCTATAACATTTATAGCAGAAAAAGTTCTGCAATAAGATTGAATGTTTTATTTGGCATTTTCCTTAGAAAGAGACTTTTCAAGGCTTGCAGAGAGTGAGTAATTGCATTTGCATAATAAGAACCCCAATTGGATTCTCAAGATATGGTATCAAATCTTTTATCTACTGCCCACCACCCAGTGGCGAAGTCATAATTTTCAATAAGGGGGTTTAAAATCTAAACATAGACACACGAAGTAGCCAAAGGGGGTTCGACATCTACTATATATACCTAAAAATTTATTTTAACCATGTATAAATCATATAATTTTCCGACTAAGGAGGTTTGGATGAACCCCCTCATTATAAGGTGGCTCTGCCACTACCACCGCCACCACCCCCAACCCCCCACCCCCCGGCAATTTTTTTTTAACAAAAAAGTATAATGATAAATATGCCCTTTTGATTTTGCAATTTAGAGTGTATATATCTCTTATTTAAAAATGGTGCATATATACTTTCGATGTCTAACAATTGAGGCATGCTTACCCTTTTTGTTAGCTGACCTATATTGACTGGATTTTTTTTAAAAAAAAAAACAATCCTAAAATTGATTTTATAATTTAAATGCGGTTCACTTACATTAACCAAATACTTATGACAACCAAAATCCATCAACTTTTTTTTTTTTTTTTGCGTACGTCTCCAAAACTATGGGCAAATGTAGTGTAAATTAGCCATAAATTAAGTCATGTCACATTCAATCATCTTTGTCATTTTCATACTCGTCTTGCTGAATCATTGATTATGATATCAATCATTACTTAAAACAATTCAAAGATAATTTTAATATATATAATGTGATATAATTCATTTTGAACCAGGACTACGCACACAAAGATTTTCTCAACAGACCTCACGCTATTAAGAGTTTAGGATGATTGACAATAATTCCAATCACACTTGGAATGTGTATGGCAAGAGTAGATAGATAGATGAAATGGCCTTGTGTTTTCCACAAGTGTAGTTCCAATCAAATATAACAGAAAATGGACCCTTTTCAATAAATATTTTTGCAGCCTTGAATTCAAAATTAGTCATTGCACAGGTGATGCTGACTTTTCTTTAAGAAATTTTGTATAACAATTTCGAATCACTCTTTAAGGAATAGGACACAATAATATAACGTAAATAAGAGAAGTAAGTACCCTTTATTATAAGACAGACTAAAATTTTAATTGCCAACCTTTGTTTTTTATTCTAATGAAGCATTTTCAATTAATGTCTGTTTCTCTAGTTAGAAAAACGGTGAATTAAATTATCCATGCTTTATAACTAGGACGCTTGTTTCTATATCTAGTTAAATAACTATAAAACTTTGACTAATATTTTACGATGTATCTTTTTATCATATTGATATGTAAAAAATTGGAATTTATAGTACTCTTCATATAGTTTTTGAATATCTAAATTTTTTGTTTAAAATATTGAATTAATGTAATCTAATTGAACTTTGAAAGTTAGTCAAATTGACTATCGAAAAGCACAACATGACAATTAAAAGTGAACAGAGAGAAGAGGGAGTATTAAAGTACAATGATTATTCTAGCTACGATACATATAACCATTTCATTATTTTCTCAAGTACAATACACGCTGATTGCCAGCACAAAAAAAATCGTTATAAATTTTTTTATTAAATATTTATTCTATTAAAATGTTTGCATTTTTTTAGAGTAATTAATAAAAGAATAATAAATAATTTGAAATAATTATTTTTAAGAATCATAATAGATAACTTAAGACACAGGTGTAAGAAGAATTATGAAGAATAATAATTTAGTATTTATTAATCTAAACTACCAAAGTACGTAATCCATATATAGTATTATAGTATTTGTTAAGCAACTATCAAAGTCTACTACATCTAGCATGCGGCAATAGGTTAAATGGAGCATTCAAATACTACAACAATTAGTATGAACATTTATTACAAATTTATGTAATGTTAAATATTTCCTACTCTCAAGATTTGGACTATGAAATACTACAGAGTATACGTTTACTTTTATTTGTCCACTTTTAATTTTACACGAATTTTATATTATAGTTGAATGATTATTTACATATTATTTTATAATGTATCGTATTGTATTGTGTTATATTTAATCATTTTACATCATTTTAATAAATACAACATTTGGATAGATTATATCGTTTTCTGTCGTTATATAATGTCACACATCAATAATTTAAAGGATAAACTTACGAGAAAAGTAAATATGGTAAAGGATAAATATGATGATTAAAATATAAGAAAAGACAAAATAAAAAGAAAAAATTAAGATGATGATGCAATCTCATCAAATCGATCGTTACACAAAATGAACTTTTTGTTATTACCTAATGATGAGTTTAACAATAGATACAATAAAATACCTCATCGGAACCTAAATTTGTATTCACCTCTGCAACATCACCTGAACCACTAGTAATAGTACGATACTTATGATTTTGAAAGAGCAATTTAAGTTAAAATCAATGCATTGTGTTCAAACTAATAAAATAATACAATACAATGGGTAACAAGTAATAACCATCAAAACAAGGTGCAAAATACAATAGGATGAATATTTAAGTAAAACTAAATATTTATTGACCAAAATAACCTTCTAAATTAAAGATGGCCACTTCTCCTTACGAGTATTACTACAATCCATTTCTTAGAATTGTCTTTTCTTCATTTTTTTATCTTTAAGTGGTTGGAAAAATTGAAGTCCATTATATAACTACCAAAAACAGTGAACAAAAGTACCAACAATGACACATCATAGAAAAATAAAAAAGAAATATACTGTCCCCCATATTTCCAATTAACTCCCCACCTTTCACCTTTTGTCCCTTTTTATCTGTGAATATTTTTATATTGAATCTAATTGCATCCAAATAGTCTTTTTAATCTTTCTATAAACTCACTTTTACACCCTTTAAACCTTCTTGAATTTTGTGTCATTGCTTTTAAACCCTTTACTTTATCTTTTCTACTCCCTCCGCTCCAAAATAATTGTTATTTCGAAAAAGGGCCAAAATATTTGTTAGATAGGAACAAATTTGATAAATACTGACAACTTTCTAATAGAGTAATAGAATGAAAAGATCCATTAGATAATAAACTATTGAGATTAGAAATAATTTTTAAAAAATTCTCTTTCTGTCTATTGGATTAATTTTTTCTCTCCTTCCACCTATTGGTAGAAAAATGCCATTAATCTCTTGCAATTCCAACTCCCACGTAAATAAGTGGCCAATTATCAATGGTGAAATCAAAATTTTCATTAAAAATTTAAAATATAGATAAAATAAATTTAGATTGAAGCTAAAGAGATTCAATATTTGCCATATAATTAATTCCAACTTCGCATATAATAGAATGTAATTGTTTCACAAAGATTTGGATAAACCCTTGACGGCACCCTAACTTCACCATGCAGACACTACGATCTTCCCTCTAGGTTTGGAACTTGCCTTAAAGTAGAATTCAATAATTTTGATTCAAATTTTATATTTATATTAAAAGATTATTTTGATATCCTAGATCTCGTAAGTAAAAACAGTTAGTGATTCAAAATTCAACACTAACAATATATTCGGTTTCAATTTAATCTCACAAGTGGAGTTAGAATACCTTTATGAAGTAGATTTGTTGTTTTAGATATACGCCTCGATTCAAAAAAATCATTTTCAGAACAAGTTTGAAAGAGATCCAAGGTTGTGATTCAAAATTTATAAAATAAAATTTCCGACTCCGCTACTACTTCCCCTGCATGAGAAGAAAATCCACCCTTTCCCCTAATTAGATATTTCCCCCCACACACTCAAGTCTCTCTCCTTGTGTTAAAAATAGTAGCAGAAAATAAAGTTTAAAAAATTCAATTTATATGGCCCCTAAATAATGAAGTAATACAAAGAAGAATTTGACATGAAATTATTTTCAACTCTGTTCATAAACATTATGATTTTCTCCTAATAAAAAGGCAGCAACTAATTCATAGACAAATTTTGAGAATCCATTGATTGATTTTAAAGGGTACTGGTAGCTGCATTGTCTACTCGAGAGTCGAGTCTCGCCATGTAAGGGAAAAAAGCTCTCTCTTTATCATCTCGTGCAAGATGCAACATCATTTTTCCTTCTCGTGTGTTCTGGTCTTCTTTGATGATGGCTCGGGAGAAGAAGAAACAGATGCAGCCACCGCCCACGAGTCATTGGAGCTATCTGAGCTGAATGAAACATCCATAACTCCTATGGGACTTCCTGGCAATGCACCAAATTTGCGTTTGTTTGAGTTGAAATCAATGTTGGAAGCCACCTCCTGGACTAGCTTATAACAATCTGTCACATTGTCCTGTTTCACACGATTTGATTCCCGTCAGAACAGAATTTAAACGTCGTGAATTCTGAAATGTACGACTAACTTCATTTATAAATGCATAACCAAATTTTCACCCGAGCCCCTCGGCTCTCAAACCAAACCAAACCAAACCACGCCAACAAATCCAAAAGCTCAAACACAAATTTCAGTGAAAGTACTAAAAACAAGGGGGTTATAGTTGGCACATTGATCCTCAAGCACAGGGTTCTACCAAACCAATAACACATTATTGGATCCGCAACTACCAACTAGTACAACAAAAACAACAACAAATATATCCAGCGTAATCCCACAAGTGGGGTACTAACAACTACATAGTCGGTCTAATCCCACAAGTGGAGTCTAGAGAGGGTAGAGTGTACTGTACGCAGACCTTACCCTTATCATGGAAAGCAGAGAGGTTGTTTCCGATAGACCCTCAAGTGGCGTACTACAAGCTAGTACAACAAATTGGGGATATATTTAACTAGAATTTAAGACATGAAGTGATAAAAACATACTAACCTTGACTACTCCGAGAATACCCAAAAGTTGTTCTTGATATTCTTGTCCAATGCAAGGCTCTAGCTTATCAATAACATGTAACATTGTAGCAGCAGCCATAGCAGAAGGAAGATAACACATAAATCTACAATCTGCTAGTTATAAAAAAATTAATCAGTTAGCAAATTAATCTTAGCTTTATCAAGAGCTATTCATAAATTCTGATTCATAATTACCAGTAATTGTGGACAAAAGCACCCTCTCACATCTCCTCAGAAGTTCAAAGCAAATGTGGTCATTTAATCCTAGCCTTCTTGAGAAATAATCAAGAAATGAAAATGGGGTTACTGGATTCATCTTCCACTTGAGTGTAGAAAGTACCAATATCTCCATTCTCTGAATTGTTTTTGGCTCAAACAAGTATCTTGATTCCTCCACCTAAACAAAAAGAATCAAGAAAACACCCAAATCAATAACCCCAACATTGAAATTGTTACAAAAGTTAGGATCTTTCTAAGACCATTGAGCGTTCTGGTGGGATGGATAAGTCCCCTCCACCTAAATATCCCAAGTTAATAACCCCAACATTGAAATTGTTACAAAAATCATTTTTTTCTAAGACTATCAAGGGTTCTGGTAGGATGGATAAGATCCCTCTGCTCTTATTCATTAAACTCTGGTTGGGGTCCTAGGAATGAAGGAGCATTTCCCTTTTAAATGGTCTTACACGCGAATCCAAATTAGTCACTCACAAAGTGAGCACCATACATCCAAGTGATTTCACTTTTTAACGAATGTTAGGCCTTACAAATCTGAATTAGTCGAACTAGACCCACAAAGCGAGCACCAAACACCAAGTCATTTCACTTTTTAATGATTTTAGACCTCATGATTAGCCGAACCAGACACACAAAGCAAGCACCAAGTCACTTTACTTTTTAATGAATTTAGAGTTTAGACCTCATGAATCTGAATTAGTCAGACTAGACCCACACAGCAAGCACCAAACACCAAGTCATTTCACTTTTTAATGATTTTAAGCAACACAAATCTAAATTAGTCAGACTCACAAAGCGAAAGGGAGTACCAGACATCATCATCAACAACAAATATACACAGTGAAATCCCACTAAGTGAGGTCCGGGGAGGGTAAAATATACGCAGACCTTACCACTACCTCCGCGAGGTAGTGAGGCTGTTTCAGAAAGCGAGTGCCAGACATTGAATGATCAAAAAGAGAGGATTTTGCTAAGCACATACTTGAAGATCTAGAAGTAAAGGCACTTGGGTCTCTTCAATTTTTGCAGCTAAAGAAAGACAAGTCACAGCAGCAAGTTGGTTCATCCATGGCTGCTTCTCACTTTGTGACTGTAAGCTAAAAAGAAACCTATCAAGGTAGTTTACAGCAAGAATTGCAGTTTGAGCAGAGAAATTATGATAATCAACACCTTCAAGAATCCATTCAATTGCTTCTTTTCTAAATACAGACAAAAATGGGTTGTTTATCACAACATTATACATTTGATTTTCTTCTTCTTTAGACAACAAAGACTCTAATTCCTCTTTTTCCCATATCAAATCTTGATTTAACAAAGAAACTGATTTGGGTTTTACTTCAAACACTTGAAAGGTCTCATCTTTACAATACAAAGAATCTAACAAAAATGCCATCTTCTTCTTCTGTGAAGAAGAGGGATGTTTGGGGTTTTCATTTACTTCATTTTTTTCCTTTTTTGGTTGAAGAAGAAGCTAATGGAAGATGAATAGGCTCATTTCAGCCATTTTTTCCTGTGCTTTTTTGTAGAGTTTGGGAGGAAGAGAAGAAGGGGATTTGGGCGGAGTGAGATATAGTAGGGAAAATGTTTGTGTTTATATCGTGGGACTTGTGAGGGCATTTTATGGCACTATGTGGGTCCTTCTTCGATCCTGCTAATACGGTATGCTTTTAAACGAAAAAAGTATTGATAATTTTCTTAAATTTGATGCGATTTATTAATTTCATTTTTGAATTATTAATTGTCTCGTCAAGTTTAGGAATATTTTCTAACACCTTTTTGACTTTTTATTACGAATTCAATGTTTCTACAAGAGTTTGAGACCATTTGTTATATCATGTGGAAGATTACGGGTGTATCTAAGTTTGGTTATTTTGAGACCACTTGCATGAATATTGGGTGAAAAATTAAAAGGAAATAATAAAAAACAATTATACGCATTACTTGTTATAAATTATACTAGACATCGGAGCCCGTGCTAGCACGGGCCCAATATGTATCATTTTTTGTTTCAATTTATGTGACAAAGACAAAATTAAAGAGTTAATCAAACTTTAATATTAATTTAAAATAGTTTAAATTTTTAATTATTGTTAACTATGATAAAAAAAATTTTATGTCTTTTAACATTCTAAATTGCTAATTATTGTTGTATGATTTGTAATATCTTTTACGCAATTTTGAAATAATAAAAGTTATTTCTTCTTTCTCAATTTATGTGGTACTAATAAAATTTCGAGATTCAATCAATTTTTTTTGTCTTTAAAATATTCTATTGTTAATTATTGTAAATTATTGTACTTTCTAAGTAATTTTCAAATAATATATATTATTCATTTGTCCAATTTATGTGTCATCGATAAAATTTGAAGAGTTAATCAGATCTTTTACATATTTTTATATCTTTTGAATATTTAAGTAAATAATTATTGTGATTTATAATATTTTATACAATTATTTTTAAAAAATTAAACAACAAACAAAACGAATTCATCATAGGAAAATTATCAAAGCATCCTTGAATACATCAATAATGGATCCCACTTTTTGTTTTAAAAACTATGCATATTGGGAGGATATTTTTGTCCAAAGGGGAAATAAAATAAGTATAAAGCATTAAAGTTTTTTAAAATTTAAAATTGTTAATTCTTATTCTATGATTTGTAATACTTTTACGTCATTTTCAAATAATAGAGGTTATTTCTTCTTTCTCAATTTATGTAGTACTAAAAAAAAAATTGAGATTCAATCAATTTTTTTGGTCTTTGAAATATTTCTAACTGTTAAATACTGTAATTTATAGTAATTTCTAAGAAATTTTCAAATAATATATATTATTTCATTTGTCCCAATTTATGTGTCACCGGTAAAATTTGAAGAGTCAATCAGATCTTTTATATATTTTTATATCTTTTAAATATTTAAGTAATTAATTATCGTGATTCATAATATTTTATAGAATTATTTAGTATAGTAAAATAAATTTAAAAGAAACAAACAAAACAAATTCATCATAGGAAATTACCAAAGCATCCTTGAATACATCAATAATGGGTCCGACTTTTTGTTTTTAAAAAATTGCACATTCGAAGGATATTTTTGTCCAAAGTGGAAATATTGTGTGAAAATTGTGTATTTATTGTGATTTTGAATGTTTTGTGGGGTAATAGGACGCATGTAAAGTTTATGTGTCTTTTTGAAAATCTGGGACAACTTCAAGTATTATTTAATGTTTTTTCTCAAAATCTAATTTACTTTCGTAAATTATGTGTCAGATCAAAATCAGATTAACAAATTCGAAAGGAATGAGTAATAAATATATATATATAGAAATGACATATTTATTATTTAACTATGTAACTAAAAATCTTGTTAGCTTTTGGTTGAAAACTAACAAGATAGTTACAATCATAGTTGCATTGTGGCTTATTATATATAGAATACTCCATGTTTTAATAAGGATGATAAGTATTTCAGATCGAATGGAGTAATATTTATTTTATTTATATATCATAATTGAGATATTTATGTCTTTTAAAAAATATATTTATTTCATTTATGTGTCATAGTTGTGTGTGTTTTTACTTTTATATTATTTTTTAAAAAAGAAAATGGAGGTAGGAAATGGGAAGGAGAAAGGGGAAGGGAGGAGGATTATTTTAGTGGGGGAATCGAACCCTATCGAAATGAAAGTTCAGTAATTAATCAATGAGCTATTAAAATTTTTCTATGTTTATGTATGTACCTACTAAAATATGAGAATCTCTTAAGGTAGGCCATCGGTAATTGGCCCATCGAAAGCTCTAAAATCACATATTTTTTATGGTCCTCTATATTAGAAAATTCACATGTTTTTAATAATTATTTTGCTTGTTTGATATAAAACTGACAACACATTAAGAGTGTGTTAGTGTGAAGGATAATATTGTCTACTCATGAAAATATCTTGTAAAATTATTGATTAATCTAAATATCAAACACACCTAAATATATATAGATTAGTGATTAAAATCCCATCTGCTAATTCTCACATTCTTGACTTCTTTATACTATGAGTTATATAATTTATAAAGGAGAAAAAGGGTTAAAGTAATTGTTTTTCAAAAATATTTTCAAAACACTTTATACTATGGTGGAATAGTCATATATACCTTCGAATCTCTTCTTTTATATATAAAAAAATATCTATTGATTAAAGCGTAATAAGCCATAAATAAAAAGAAAAGATAAGAGAAGAAAAGAAGAGAGAGAAATAGAAACATCCAAAAGTTGCACTGCATGCCTAACATATGTAGCCTTCAAAGAATTACTCTTACCAATTACCATCATCATTCTCACAAATTTCGTCGTTAAATTACTCGTAACTAACATAATATTCATGTATTATGAATTTTAAATTTTAGTATATTGCAGTTTATTGTGTTTGAGATTGGATATTACATATAAGAATGAATTTCTTAATTTTAATAGAGTTTGAGTCTAAGTTACTAAATTTTATCGAATTCATGATGTGGATATCCTCCTATATGTTGTTGAATTACTCATAACTAACATAATGTTCAGATATTATGGGTTTTGAATTTTAATATATTACAATTTATTGTGTTCGAGATTTGATATTTATACGTTTAAATGAATTTCTTAATTTAAATAGAGTTTTTAATCAACACTTTGATATACATACAAAGTCTTTTCGCATTGAATGTTCTATTAAATGAGGGTAATGCACTTCCTACCGAAATATTTTTATTATCAATATTTGAACTAAACCTCTTGTTCAATATAATCATTTACCACAAATCTTAATGGCACAATGTTTAAAATCGACAGATATTATAATTAAATCAATAACGTCTATTTACCTCAAGTAAGTTCATTAAATAAGGTAATATATCTTTAAAAAAAAGTTTCAATTCAAAACTCGAACCTAAGACATGATATATACACTAGAATTTGAAGTCGAATTGTGATCTTTTTAAAAATTATTCTAGCACATCTTTTCTTGGTATATGATATGTTTAATTTAGAGTCAACAGACATGATAATAACTAAATCAATATGTTGGGAGCTAGCTCCCATTGTGCTATGATAAGTTGCTTTCTTTCTATTCTTTTCTTGACCTTTGCTTTTGAGCTTCCACCCTTTAGAGGCTCAATCTCCAATGAGAGAAAAAATAATTATAAAGGATCACAGACATAATCGACGTTGAAATTTTATATTAATGTATAATTTAAATGTCGTATTTTTATTCATAAACATGAAAATTCTTGTCATTTGAAAATTATCAAAATTATAAATCGTGATTTGAAATCGCATGTTCAGAACCACACCATAGTCAAATATGAATTATTATTTTTTATCTTAGTTGACTCCTTTACTTGTTTTACATGATGTTATTTTTTGTTTTATGTTTTAATTCCTCCCAAATACATATTGTATGGGAGGAAGAGAAAATAGTAGAATAATAGATGACTACAATTAGGAGTTCAAATATCTTCATACAATGTATTAACTTTTCAAGTAGAAACAATTGACATTTGAATACTCTATTTATTTCAATTTGATGAGGTAAAATTATTTGATTAGGCACTAAGCTTAAGAAAAACAAATAGATAGTAATTTTGAAACTTATGATCGATCATAAATATGCATGCCATTATATTTGTACGTCTATAAGACTTCTAGAAATGTGGTCTTAAATTGTGACGTTTTTTATAGAGGACGATTTGATGAGGCCGGATCAAGCAAAACTGACAAGTTGTTAGGTTGACAAGCTTCTGAAGATGATGCACACATAAGGCCTTAGACGAAACATCACATCAGAATGGGAGAGAAACGGAAAAAATTGTATAAGTCATGACTCAAGTTCATATGATAGACGTGTTTTGGAGGGCTAACTAGACCAAAAACAAATAATACATATCATGAACTTGATTCGTAACAAGAGCAATTTTCAAGTTTGTCAGGTTCAGTCAATCTTAATTGTTAAGAAACTATAGGCTCTGAGTCCTCATAATTTCAAGTTTAAAATATGCATGAGGGTAATCATAGAGTCCACTATAGTAACAACTTTTGGAAAATAAAAAGTCCACAAAAGAACAAAACTACAACATGAGTTTGGTGCATTAATTCTAGGTTCATAGTCAAGGTAATTAAGTAAAAGGCATATTAGCTTTTGAAAATTTAGATGTATCATACAAAACACAAGTGAACATGAGTTTGTTGGCTATCATGACTATCCACTACCACCTTGTATGATTGATCTCATAAGATCATAGATTGACATTTGTAAAAAAAAAAAGATATACTATCAACTAGTGATGGAGTCAGATATTTTACGTTACTAAAATATAAAGAAGTAAATACACGAAAAAGTCAACAAAGAGATTCAACATCTACTATATATACACAACAAGTGGAGTCTGATAAGGTAGAGTGTACACATATCTTACCACTACCTCGTGGAGGTAGATAAGCTGTTTGTGAAAGACCTTCAATTCAAATGCAGTAAATCCAAGTTCAAAGAAGAAAACATAACAAC